TCCACTAACTTGAAATGTTTCTGAAGACTGGGCTTAGTGGTGCTAAAATAGGTACAATTCCTGGCAGTTCAGTTACAGGAGGTCTTGGATAATGTGATTTTCAGTAACTTTGCTTTGCTGGGTTCTTGCTTCCCAGCTCCTCTAATGGAAGGGCTGGACATGTGTTGGCGACACACGTGTGACCAGGTGCCAGCACTGGGTAAGATGTTCTGGGCACCAGGCAGCAGCTGACTCAAAGGCGTTGGAGCTGGCAGATCACAAGTAAGTGAAGAGAGAGTTCGCCCATGGGGACAACCCCATTTCACTTCCACTCCTGCTGCCAAGTAGGAAATAAGGCAGGGATTTCAGACATTCCTATATTTTCAAGAGAAGCCAGAAATCTAGGTTGTTACATGAAATCTCCTGATTTTTAAGGCTGCCAAATTACTAAAGTATTCTTTTAAAAGATTTTATTTATTTATTTATTTGAGAGAGAGAGAGAGCACATGAGGTGGGGAGGGTCAGAGGGAGAAGCAGACTCCCCGCTGAGCAGGGAGCCTGATGTGGGACTCGATCCCGGGACCCCAGGATCATGACCTGAGCCGAAGGTCTGGTCTGAGCCACCCAGGTGCCCCAGCCAAATGTTGACCTACATGAAGGCTAGGAGGATATATAAAGTTGTGTAGGACCTGGGGGGGGGGGTTCACCGTTGGACTGACTGTAGGATGTCTAACCGTAACCCTGACCCTACCCGCTGAGTGCTGCTGCCAGCCAATCATTGCGTAAGCAAAAAACACAGTTGTAAATTCCCCACTTTTTAGAGGTAACTCATCCTTGTTGAGAATCACCAGTCAAAAGGGTCAGCATTTTTTAGTTACCTGTGATTTTCATCAGGAGAGATAATAAAGTTGACATTTGTTGAGTACTAATTATGTGCCACCCACTGTTCTAAGCACTTAATCTATTTTAACTGATTTAATCCTTAGAACAACTCTACAGTGTAGAGTCTATTATTATCCCCCATTTACAGATGGGGGAATTGAAGCTTATCAAGTTTAGGCAACTCATCCAAGAAAACATAGCAAGGAAGTAAAGAAACTGGAATTCAAACCCAGGCAGTCTGGTGCCAGAGCCCGTGTGAGTAAACACTGCATCCGTTGCCTTATGGTAGACGGTGGTCAGTCTTGAATCAGTTCCCTCAAAATACATTGTGATTCTCTTAAAATTTATCAGTGTCCTAAGCTAATCTAAGCCTGCTGTTGTGGAAATTGATGAAGATCATTTGACTCCCTTTCTAGCTGCCCTGCCCCGTTTTTGTCTCTCTCTCTCTCTCTCACACACACACACTACACTCGTGTAACTTCTTTTCCTCTGGCTCTTTGGAAGAAATGATGATATCATAGTTACTGCAGATCCGTGAATCCTGGTATCGAGGACTGGTGAAAATGAGTCAGGGGCCCTTTGTTGGAAGGATCATGAGTGTGTGTGTGTATTGTATTTTCACCACTGATGTAATAACTTGGTTACAGTTGCTTGGTAACATACACTGTTGTAAGCAATTTTTAAAAATTGGAAATGGCTCTGGTAAAAGTCCACACAGATTTTTCCACCCCCTTACAGTAGAACTTATAGTAGTTCTCACTACTATCACAGAGAAACAAAAATTCAGTAGTCCCTCATGCTTTACCTTTCCCTCACTCCCTTGTGTTTGGCATCCACTTATAACATTCTCTTTGCCAAATTTTGCAAGTTTAGACATTTAAAACTAAGGCATGGAATTGCTTCATAGTGGCTTTTGAAATCGCTACTTTTAGATATTTATTGGCAAAACTCTATCACTGCTGTCCTTCACTATAAAAATAAGAATTAAATAAATTTTGTATTTGAATGGTATGTGACCACACTGAAATATATGTATTAGAACCCACAGTCTGAGAGGCGGGCTCAGTGGAATCCCATGCGGAAACCGTGCCATTGCAATCACAGTGATTCCATGTGTACTTGCAAGATTTGGAGTCCACCCTGTGTCTTCAGACTTGTTACGTGAAGTTATAAGTATTTGTAACCTTTCTGGGCCTGCAGCGATCTCATTCAGACAACAAATATTAGAGGACACCTGCTACCAACTAGAATGTGAGCTGAGGTTTATGGGGTCAAAGAACAGGACGTTACCCTTGGTCTCAAGGAGAATCTCAGTCGTCCCAGAAAAGAAAAGAGACTAGACGCTCTCTGCGGTCTCGTTCGGCTTCAACAGTCTATGAATCCAGGAGCCTAAATAGAATTTAATGCTTGCTACCTTTTAGGTGTGTGTGTGAGGTTCCCTGAGCTCATAAATTCTGTCAGATTTCAGGCAACAGTTATTTGAAGTTAGATCACTGGAAAGGTTTCTCCAAAACAGTAAAAGAAATCACAATCTTAACTTACCTCAAGTCAAAGCATCTCTGTGAAACTTTCTTTATTTCCAAACTAAGGTATAAGTATTGCTATCACTTTCAATTCCATTTAATTTTAATTCAGTGCCCCCTCCCCCTAAAAAGTCACTGAGCACCTACAGGCCCTCTCTTCTCTTGGTAGTAATTACTTATTTTATAATACCAGTGCTGCTGGCTTATTATCTTTACAAATACAGAGGCAATCTGAAATGAGTATATTTTAAGACAAATTTGAGGTTTTTAAACATAAGAGAAGTGGGGCGCCTGGGTGGTTCAGTCGGTTAGGCAGATTGGTTAAGCATCTGCCTTCGGCTCAGGTCATGATCCCAGGGTCCAGGGATTGAGGCCCACGTGGGGCTCCCTGCTCAGCGGGGATTCTGCTTCTCCCTCTCCCTTGCCATGCCCAACACCCCCCTTCCCTACCACCCCCCTCCCTGCACGTGCACTCTCTCTTGCACTCTCTTTCTCTCAAATAAATAAAAAAATTCTTTAAAAAATAAAAAAAATTTAAAAATTAGATTGAGAAGTCATCTTAAAAGAGTAAGAAAGAGAGAAAATCAAAGAATAAGGAAGTTAAGGTAAGAAGCAAAATGTAATTACGGTGGACAGGTTCAAGGAAAAAAGTTAAAAGACAATACAAAAACAAAATTTTTGTTATTTATTCATTTATTTTAAAGATTTTATTTATTTGACAGAGAGACACGGCGAGAGAGGGAACACACAAGCAGGAGGAATGGGAGAGGGAGAAGCAGGCTTCCCACCAAGCAGGGAGTCCTATCCGAGGCTCGATCCCAGGATCCTAGGATCATGACCTGAGCCGAAGGCAGACACTTAACGACTGAGCCACCCAGGGGCCCCAAAACAAAACAATTTTTAAAGGAAAGGAGAGCAATGGGGTAGGAAAACAGCAGGGAGGAGAGTGAGACACATCCTCTTTCCATCTGTAAGCTTCACTTTGTTTTATTCCCACCCCACATCCCCCAAACAGCTGATACCCACCCCTAGTCACAGTGCCCCACAGCTTCTTTCTGAACTGTGCTAAAGACAACTGAGTACCAGGGTCAATCGGCCTCTGATGCCCCCTGCAGGTCCTCAAAGCAACTTGCTCTCCCTTTTTTAAAATATGACTTAACAGATTATAATTAATCTGTATATATAAACCCAGGTCCAACAAGATAGAGCAAATACAGGTTTCAATAGTGTATGTTTCTGGGAATGATACCAAGATTATGCTCTGGGGGCACCTGTGTGGCTCAATTGGATAACCATCCGACTCTTGATTTTGGCTCAGGTCATGATCTCAGGGTCCTGCTCAGGGGGGAGTCGGCTTGGGATTCTCTCTCCTTCTGCCTCTGTGACACCCCCCACCCCTGCTTGCTCTCACGCTCAAAATAAAAAAAACTATGCTTTGGCATTGCTCATATTAATGAAATGAGAGATTTCACCAATATTTATAGAAGACTGGCTGTGATTTAGTTAAAATGCATGTAATTTGTCAGGAACAATGGGTTTGAATTCCTGCTCTATAACTTATTAATTTCGTGATCCTGGGAAAGTTAACTGATCTCCTGGAGCTGTCTTCTCACCTTTAAAATAGACATATCAAGACAGACACTACAGGGTTGCTGTGAGAATTAAATGCAGTATTATGGGTATAAAGTGCCTCATTCAGTATTTAGTACCTGAGAGCTCCTCAACAAGTGGTCGCTCTCACCACCTCATTCCAAAGAGGAAAATATATTAAGAGTTCTGTATGTCTTATGATACCAGAAACCAAGGAAATGTAAGTAACAGCCATGTTCTTTTGGAAACCAAAAAGGTTAAAAACAATGTATCACTGTGTAAGGCTCAGCTTTGACGTTTTCCTAAGCCCTTAATAAGACAGTGGTCCTTAAAGGGACAAACTATTAGGTACTGTGATGAACACAACTTACTAGCTTATTGAGGAAAATTAGCCACAAGTGTACGGGGAAATAAAGATGTATACAATCTTTCTAATTATTCAAAGGATGTTCATAAATAGCCAAAAATTTTACCTACTGACTACAAATTCCGAAGATTTAGGCCAAAAGTCAATGGAAGATACAGATAACTGCCTAAAAACACCTGTTGTAGGCAGAACAGAAGGCCCCCAAAGATGTCCACAGTGTAGTCCCTAGAATCTATGAATGTTGCCTCATGTAGCAAAAGGGATTTTGCCAGATGTAATTACATTATGGAACTTGAAATGAGATTATGCTGGATTGCCTGGGTGGGCCCAATGTACTCACAAGGGTCCTTAAATGTGAAGAGGGAGGCAGAAGAATCAAAGGAGATCTGGGATAGTAGCAGGGCTGGAGTTACACCCTTGCAGGCTTGGGGCCCAGAACCAAGGAGTGAGAGCGCCCTCTAGAGGCTAAAAAGGGCAAAGAGCCCGACTCGCCCCTAAATCCTCCAGCCCTGCTGACACCTCAGATTTTAGCCCATGAGACCCACGTTGAGCTTCTGACCTCCCCAACTATCTTTGCACTGTTTTAAGCCACTAAGTCTGTGACAATTTTTCAGAAGCAATAGGAAACTAATACACACTATCTTGGCTATTTCGGGTTAATGTGCAGTTTTGGTGAGAACGTACTGAACAAAATTGTCAACAAATACTGTGATGTTCCGTCTGTGTGTTCTCAGTGTACCATAAGGTAATTTCAAAAGAAATGAAAGGGGAAAAAATGTAATACATAAATGTAAGGCAGAGTTACTATAGCCTACTTGGAAGTACTAAAACCACAAACTTTATGGAACGTGTAACTGCAAACAGTTCCACACAAAGACACAAAAAGGGGTAATAAAAAACTACAAGAAGTCCTAATGTATTTCTCTACGAGCTCGGAAGATGTCAGTGGATTATTAACTGTGCTTAAAGACACCTCTCCTCATACAGAATATCAGCCTAAAAAACCACATTTACGGTTTCTCAAGCGAAAGAAAGACAAAAAAGCCATACAGATGACAAAGAATGTCTCATAAACAAACAGATCTATAATGTTGGTGTCACTTCTCAGTATCTATCAAAATTTTTATGTAGGATTAGCTGAAGTATATATAAGTTACAGTACATTTTTCTCTGAAATAGGCCAGATTGTCAGAAAGCTATATACCTATTGCCTCCCCTGCTGGGTCTCTCCACTCTCCTTGAATTTCTTTCCTTGGACTTCAGTACCACCAGCTTATGTTGAGGGACATTACATGGCAGAGCTATATGAGGCTTCTTGCTGTCTTTGTGTCATTGAGCGTGTTACTCATTGCATTATATAGAATTCCCTCGGTGAGAACCCCTGTATACATCCATGCCTCAAGGTCTCAGTACCAGAAACAGGTAAGCTATTTCTAAGCAGAGGGTGGTTCTTTTTACCTCTTATGGAAATATAACATATATGACATTATATATTTGTCAACAACCAAATACAACATAAAGAGCAAACCCTAATATAAATGATGGACTTTAGTTATGGCATCACTACTGGTTCATTATCTGTAACAAGGGCCAGGTAATAATAATAGGGGAAACTGGGAGAGAAGGGGTACAGGAGAACTCTCTGTACTTCCTGTTTAACTTCTCTGTGAAGCTAAGATTGCCCTAAAATATAAGGTCTATCTAAAATATCTAGGGGCGCCTGGGTGGCTCGGCGCTCGTTAAGCGTCTGCCTTCGGCTCAGGTCATGATCCCAGGATCCTGGGATTGAGCCCCACATTGGGCTCCCTGCTCTACAGGAAGCCTGCTTCTCCCTCCCCCACTCCTCCTGCTTGTGTTCCCTCTCTCGCTGTGTCTCTCTCTGTCAAATAAATAAATAAAATCTTTAAAAAAAATAAAATAAAATATCTATACAACAGGGCGCCTAGGTGGTTCAGTCAGTTAAGTGTCTGCCTTCGGCTCAGGTCATGATCCCAGGGTCCTGGGATCCAGCTCTGCATTGGGCTCCTTGCTCATCCGGGAGCCGGCTTCTCCCTCTCCCTCTGCCATGCCCCCTACTTGTGCTCTCTCACTCAAGCGTGCTCTCTTTCTCTCAAATAAATAAAATCTTTAAAAATAAATAAATAAATAAAATAAAAATGAACTATCTATACAGCAAAACGCACACACTTGCGGAGCAGGGGATTCAGCAGGGGTGGTAGCAGCAGTTTTTCAATCTCTGAATCCTCACCTGAAACCAGACAGGCAGGGGCGCCTGGGGGGGTGCAGTCAGCTCTTGATCTCAGCTCAGGTCTTGATCTCAGGGTCGTGAGTTCAAGCCTCGCATTGGGCTCCACTTAAAAAAAAAAAAAAATTCAGACAAGCAAGTAGATAGCAAAACCAAAACCTCATGGACATTCACCGTGTGGGGAGGAACTTCTGGCCCCTTCTAGGTCCCTCTGGCTGGACTAAGGATCAAATTGACATGGGATAGATTAACAGGAGAAAATCAAATTTAAGTTCATACCTACGGGGAATCCACACAGACATGGAAATTCCAAAGACAGTCAGGCAGAATGAGGTACATAGTAGTCCTGAGCCAAGGAGCAGGGAGTAGGCCCTGGGACTTCAAAGGGAAGGAATGCAATTCACAGGAAGCTGAAAAAAACACGTGTTTGGTAAACACATGTGCTGGGCCACTTAGAAACAATGGGACACAGAGGATTTTGATCAAACAGGCCTTGCTAGGTTCCTCCCTGCCTACCAGACCTAGTTCATGGTAAATGTAGTTATCCATGGTGATAGCTCTCTTTCTGGAGCAGGTCCTCTATCTCAGTTCTTCTCAGGTAGACGTGGGGGAGGGAGAGAGCTTTTCCTGAATCTGCTGGGTTTTGATTGCTTTTTAACTTAAAATAATCTTCATGCCAAAGTGACCCGTTTTGGGGTGGCCTGCCCTTGGACCCTCTAACAGTAAAAGTAGATGGCAGAATATTCCCCGTGAACCCCAAAATAAAAGCAAGTAGAGATAAATCAACAGTCACAAAACCCACACAGTATTAGCATCACTATGGGAAGAAGGAGGAAGAAATGAGGGCAGTGTCTGATGGACCCAAGAACAGGAAAACTTCAAAAACAGCAACAGACCCAGAAGGCCCAGCTGAAACTGGGAGAGATTCTGCTCTCTCAGTACTAGGTGAGTGCAAGGAGCCCTCAGTAAAGACCAAGGAGGCTGAGCAGTCTGGCCCCTATGAACCATCAGTACCCATCTCCGAGGGTGTCCTTCCAACACAGAGAGGAGGCAAAGGTCCTGATCAGGGAGGAGAACAGAGTCCAGAAATCTCAGAAAGCAGGCTCCATGTTTTTAACATTACACCAAACAGCAGAGGGAGCTCTGTGAAGTTGGAAACACTTTCTTACCTCATTCTAAAAGTTCAAGAAAACTACTTTCATATAAAAGTGAGCAACAAAAGAGGACTTAGGTTGAATCATCACAAAGTTTTTATAACACTAATTTTTATTTTTTATGTTTTTATTTTTTAAAGATTTTATTTATTTATTTGACAGACAGCGAGAGAGGGAACACAGCAGGAGGAGTGGGAGGGAGAAACAGGCTTCCAGCTGAGCAAGGAGCTGGATGCGGGTCTCCATCCCAGGACCCTGGGATCATGACCTGAGCCAAAGGCAGACGCTTAACGACTGAGCCACCCAGGCACCCCATAACACTATTTTTTAAAAAGAGTTAAGGAACGGATAATATTGGGGCGTTAAGTCGTTAAGCTTAGTCGTTAAGCGTCTGCTCAGGTCATGATCCCAGGATCCCTTGCTCCTCGGGAAGCCTGCTTCTCCCTCTCCCACTCCCCCTGCTTGTGTTCCCTCTCTCGCTGTGTCTCTCTCTGTCAAATAAATAAATAAAATCTTTCAAAAAAAAAATTACATAAAGCCTTTCATCAGATGCATTTTTACAAGTATCTTCTCCTTCTCTGAGGCTTGCCTTTTTACTCTCTTATTGATATCTTTTAATATAAGTTCTTAACTATAATGAAGTCCAATTTATCAATATATTTCATTTATGGTTAGAGATTTTGGTATCTTGTTAAGAAATACTGTTTCTACTCTGAAAAACAAACTGAGGGTTCTAGAGGGTAGGGGGGTGGGGGGATGGGTTAGCCTGGTGATGGGTATTGAGGAGGGCACGTTTTGCATGGTGCACTGGGTGTTATGAACAAACAATGAATCATGGAACACTGCATCAAAAACTAATGATGTAATATATGGTGATTAACATAACAATAAAAAATTAAAAAAAAAAAGAAAAAAAAAAGAAATACTGTTTCTACTCTAAGGTCTTAAACATCTTCCTCTATGTTCTCCAAGTTTTATTGTTTTACCTTTCCTGCTTATGTCTATAATCCAACTGGAATTGATTTTTTTTATTTTTAAAAATTAAAAAAAAATAAAAGATATTTATATGAGAGAGCATGCGAGCATGAGTCAGGGGGAGGGGCAGGGGAAAAGGGAGGGGCAAACTCCCCACTAAGCAAGGAGCCCAACTCAGGCCCTGATCCCAGGACCCTGAGATCATAACCTGAGCTAAAGGCAGACACTTAACTTACTGAGCCACCCAGGCACCCCCATCTGGAACTGATTTTTGTGCATGGCATGAAAGAGGGTCAAGGCTCATCTCTTGCCATCAGCTATCCAGTGGATCCAGCACCGTTTGTTAAAAAGAATGTATTTTCCCTGCTCTGTTGCAATGACACATTGGTTGTAAATCAGATGTCCGTATATATGTGGGTCTGTGTCTTCATGCTCTTTTCTAGTCCATGGATCTGTTTGTCTATCTCAAACCTAATGCATCCAAAACTGAATTCCTGATCTTCCCCCTAAAACCCATTCCTCTTACTGTCTGCCTTGTCTCAGTTGCTGGCAGTTCCATACTTCCAATGCCCAGGCCAAAATCCTTGGTGTCATCCTGACTCCTTTCTTTCTCTCACACTCCACTTGCAATCCATCAGCAAATCCTGTTGCCTTTGGGCGCCTGGGTGGCTCAGTCGGTTAAGCGACTGCCTTCGGCTCAGGTCATGATCCTGGAGTCCTGGGATCGAGTCCCGCATCGAGCTCCCTGCTCAGCGAGGGGCCTGCTTCTCCCTCTAACCCTCCCCCCTCTCATGTACTCTCTCTCTCATTCTCACTCTCTCAAAATAAATAAATAAATCTTTAAAAAAAAAATCCTGTTGCCTTTACCTTCAAAATAGATCTAGAGTCACTACCACCATCACTCCCTCCCTGGTCCAAGCCACCATCCTCTCTCATCTAGATTACTGCATTAACTTCCTAACTGATCTTCTTGACTAGTGGTAACTGGTTGGATGTGAGGCATGAGATAGAAGGAGGACTCGGAATGCCATCTAGGTTTCTGGGCATGAATGATGGAAACTGATTTCCAAATGGGCTAGGGAAGAAACTGGTTTGGGGGCAGAGGGAAGAAAGGCCCCCCTCCTGTCAACTGTCCACCTAGTGGACAGGGTAATACTGTTAAGTCAGCTCATGTAAGTCACATCATGCCCCTGCTCTACACAAAAGCCTCCAATGGTGCCCCGTTTTGCTCAGAGTAAGAGCCAAAGTCTTTACAATGACCTACAAAGCTCTGTGTAATTTGGCTTCCATTAGCTCTTTCCATATAATATTCTCCTTCACTCATTTTTTTGTGGTCACGGTGGCCTCTTTGTTACTCCTTGAAAAACCAGGTAAATTCCTGCCTCAGGGTAGTTGCACTTGTCATTTTCCCAAAACCTCCCTTATTTTTACCAAGTCTTTGCTCAAATGTCATGTTTTCAGGGATCCTTTGCCTGATTACCCCCATTCTAGTACTCCCTCTCTGCTTTTCCTGCTTTATTTTTTTCCTTAGTTCTGATCACCTTCTAACTCTGAAGTCAACAAAAGCAATGTTGAGAAAGACCAAGCCAGCACTCTTTAATGAAAACCATATGGTAGAGGAATGAATCATAACATCCATAAGGACTCTTAAAAAATGTTTGTATATTTTGTTCACCGCTATATCCCCTGCACTTAGAAGAGAACCTAATACATAGATATCCAATAAACATTTGATTAAATAAACCCAAGAAGTGAATCAATGAACCAAACTTGTCTTAAAGACCTCCAACATTTAAGGGCTTAGTCAAGGAAGATTAACTTTCAAAGGAAACTGAGAAGGAACAACCCAGAAGATGGAAAAAAAAAAAAAAAAACTAATAAGAGAGTCTCATGCCCCAGACACAAAGGGGAATTTCCTGAGTGCTACAGTGTCTTTTGTTATTCATAATAGGCCCTTTCAACTATACCTGAGTGTAAGCTAGTGAAGTGACTCAAGACAGAGCCCCTAGGCATCTTCAGGACTGCAGAGCCAACCATGGGACTGGAGG